GGAAAACAAATACTAGACTTTCGGAGGGAAGTATAAAATGGGAAACATACAATTTTATCTTTCGTTTTATTGTTAAAATCAGAACTTTTTTGGGTCAACTAATGGACAAATGGATGGATATGTCTTTCGGCTACATACAACTAAAAGGTTTGGGACCGCTAGTAAACAAATTACAATCTTGCTACATGTACCCAAAGGGTACACGTTGGTTTACCCAGCCCCATCCCTCACAGGGGGATCGGGTCCCACGCATTTATTGGATGTGGGACTCGAACCCATGTGAGGGAGGAGGTGGGATAGGGTAAATTAAAGTGTAATTCAAAGGGTACAAATAGCATAATTCAACAAATTAATAGTTGAGTTTTTCCATTGGTACCGAAAATGGATGACAACGAGTTTGACAACCTCTCACATGCGTGCAGGCCCGCATGAATAAAAAATTCCAAAAAAATGTGGGCCCTCCCCCTATTATGAGTGTTCGATCAAATCATTTGTCAATTATTTTCGGTAAGTGTGGCATTGCTCTTAAGGGTTAGAATAAAAACTACAAATAATTCAAAAGTTTGAAGATAGGAATAATTTATGGGTCAATATCACATACCAATAATTAATGCCTTGTATCATTCCGTCAATTAATACCAAAACAGCCTAATTAACCGGAATATTACAATAGGTTTATAAACTAATCATTTGACTTTTGTATCGTATTATATGTAAAATTACGTTGGCAAAGTGAAGTCATTGATTTGATATGATTTTCTCAGTAGTTAAAAGGATTATTCAGTCTATCTTAGCTGTAGACGTGCCTAACAAATAACGACGTGTCGCTTATATCAGTAGGTGATACGAACGGGGTCAGAAAATATATTTCATATTTTACTTGGTACACGATGAATAAAATTTACATAACGTCGTTTTTGCATATTCTACAATTGAGATAACAAATTTTATTTTATTGTTATATCGCTAGATGGTTGTAAATGAATTTGATATTTAAATTTGTTTAGTGGGTTATTTACTAATGGATAATTACAGCCCTAGGGTATTATAAAGTGACTGGATCAAAATTTAAGTTTGGAAGGTTCTATTTTCCCAAGAAATGCAAAACTTGTTGGAAAATATGGTTTTAATACTAGTTAAATGGGTCAATTTTAAGCCCAACTTTCAGTGGGATCCGTGCCTTAATTTCAACGGAACCTAGCATATTCATGTTCTACTCCACAAGAGGATTAACGTGATATATTTATTTGTCGAAAACCATTTAGTATTAAATGAAATATTTAATGTCAAAGTAACCCATTTGAAATACGAATTTGATTTATTAGAAAATTTCTATACACTTGTCCCACATAGAAAAGTTATGAAATTTTGATATGGTTTATATAGTGTAAGGTTAAGAATTGTGTTTGGGTCCCAAGAGATACCAATAGTTTTTAGAAGGGGGAGACCTATATTCTATAGGATTTGGTCCAAACCCCATGCGCGCGCACCGCCGCCGCCGTTCTGCGGGCTCGGGACGAGCCCAGTCCGGTTCGTGTGCGGGTGTGTCCTTGTACTATATTATCTTTTCGGACAAAATTTATTTAGTTTTGGATCAAATTGTAATTAATCAAATTCTTAGGTACTTAATAAAATTAATTTTTTAATGGGCTTATTTTCTAGGGCTGTCCGTGGGTCGGTTCGGTTCGGTTCTGAAGATACCCGAACCGACCCAAAACTTTCGGGTATTTAATAAATGGACCCGTCGGGTCCAAATATAAATATGGAACCGTTCGGGTTCGGTTCCGTTCGGTTCGGTTCGGTTCCGTTCGGTTCCGTACCATAAATTAAATTTTTTAATATTTACAGCAACACTATATAAATACAACTAATGACATTTCATTCGTAATTTTTACAAATTAACGTAGCCCAATTCAAAAACATATAAATAACTAGCCGTCCAANAACAGTGGCGACTGTTCTGAAGTGGCTTGAAGGATGTTCGAATGGCCACGAACAATTCTATAAATAGCCAGCCCCGTTGCCAAAATCGTTACACCATTTTTATTGCTATTATTCTCTGCATTGAATCTCATTCTCCTTCTCTCTCTCGTTCTGATATTATTTCCGAAGTAAATACACTTCATTGAGTTCGCTGGAACTCTTGCTGTGCTACTTCTTTAGGAAACGAAATTCGTTCTATCTTGGGAAACGATTGCTGGACGCCTTAAACACCTTTTGAAGGCAGTAAATTCGTTTTAAGGAAACATTGTGAAGTCGGTGGACTCGAATTTATTTTTTGATTCTGTTGATCATACCGTTACGCTGTGCAGATTTATTAAGGTAATTCTGTGACATTATTTGAAATGAGATACTCCAGAGATAACAAAACTATGGTATATAATATTAAATAAATAAACGACATAATGATGCAAAAAATTACATGAATGCATTTTACGTATAAAAGTCTTTCTTCGATTAACTTATTTAGAGGGTGTTTGGTGGGGATTAAAATTAGATTTTCAATGGATTGTGATAGAAGTTTTTGGAACCCATGAAAGATGTGGTTGATATTGATTGTTTAATTTTGATTTAGATTAAAATTAGATTTTAATCCGACCCAAACATGCACTTAATACTTTTTTTTATTTTTTTTGGCTTGAAAGTTGTAAGTAAATATTTCATATATTTTCTTTTCAATCTTGTATGATTTAACATATTGTATACATTTTTCTAATCGTACCATATATGTTTTTTTTTCGTTAATGATGAGTAAAGTATTTTTTCGTGTTTTACATTCAAAACATTGTATTTTTTTTTTTTTGTGTCTTTATCTTGCCCGATGTCAATGTAAATGGTGATGAATTACATCATATAATTTATTTCACAGTGACTTATACAATCTTCAAATTACATTTGTTTATAGTGTTATTTCACTAATTAGCAATATAAATAATTACAGCATAGGTATTATAAATTGACAAATTCAAAATTTAAGTTTGAATGTTGGTTTTTCCTAGAAATGAATAATAAACGAAATAATGATGCAAGAAATGAAATATTTGTAGGTGCATTTGGCAAGATAACTTTTTGTTTCTAGACATATTTTATTTTTAATACATTTCCATTATTAATATTTTTAGACTAGATGATTTTTTTTTTTTGCATTTAAACATACTTTCTTTACTTTCAAGTGAAAAATGTTATTTACTTTAAAGCAAACATATTGATATATAAGTAAAATTTATAGTTTTAAGATCAGTCACAAGAGAAAGCAATCCCTTAATTCTTTAATGAAATTAACTAAGGTAAACTGCATATTTAGTTCCTAACCATTGTTAGAAGTTGCGATCCGATCCCTAGCCATCAGAATGTGGTGAATTTGTCAAGGGACTTCGAGTAGACTTCTCGTTTAAATCCTTTGCTATCTAATAATTCTGCATCGAGAATTGCCCGTCTTAGATGGAGGATCAGTAGATCTAGATTTGAGGGGGTGGACTTGAATGCTTCGAAGGCAGATGATCTTCGTTGAGGACAAGATGGCAACTTTCAGCAGAGGTTGAGCACTACATATTCAATTCATCCAAAGAAGGCCAATAGTTATATAGTCTGAGTCAGAAGTCAAAATAAATAATAACAAGATCATGTCAGTATCTTGACAATTTTGTGCTACATAGTACATTACATTTCACAAACTTCAAATCACATCTTTTTGGTTTGAAACTTGGTTCATGTACAGAAGCAGAAACCGCATAAATTCAACAGGACACACATCATGTGGGTCCCGCAATATTTATTTTTATTTTGGTTTTTACCATGCTTTTGTCTCTCCCTCACCTTCCTGTCAATGACCTACCAAACTCTAGTAGAAATTGGATATACATAATAAATCTAGTATTTTTATTATTCGACTTGAATGACAAAATTGTAACGAGTTGGATCATCTCTTAGTTTTTGGGCAATGGATCGTCTTTTAAATAGGAAAGTTTTCTTAATTTATTTGAAGTAAAATTCCACGTAATTATTTAACTTCATTTATCTTGAACACTTATGAATATTAGGTCGTTTTTATTACTATATGTCCTTGTTTGAGCTTCATTATTTGACAAAAATTGGTTTTGGAATAGTGTTTTTTGAAAAATGTATGGTTAAAAAGTAAGGAAAATTTTTGAATTTGTTTGTAATATTATTTTATTAAAAGAATGTATGGTCGATAAGAGGGGAGAGAAAAAAATTAATATTTAATTAGGGTCAAAGATAGGCTAAAATAACTATTTGAATACTAGATTTGTCTTTTCAACTTGGGTAATTAGCAGAAATGGTCCTTGACGTTTACATTCATTGCTAAAATAGTCTCTATCATTTTAAATTTGATATTTGTACCTTTATTTCAAACGTTTGTTGCTGAATTGGTCCTTCAATCCACTTCCGTTAAATCAGCCGTTAGAAAATTGAATGGAATTTGCCAATAATATTTGAAAAATGGTAAATTAGTCAACTTCACATATTTTTGTAAAAGTTTGAAATAAGGGTACAAATATCAAATTTAAAACGATATAGACCATTTTAACAATGAATGTAAACGTTAGGGACCATTTCTGCTAATTACACTTTCAACTTGAAAGGAAGGTTGCAGGAATAGTTCAAGCTTTTTGTGTAACCAATCAAATTATTTTGAGATGTCGAGTAAACACACATCAAGCCAGATGTGAAACCAAGAACTAAAGAGAATTTCAGTTTTGGGTTCTCTTCCTTTTCTCTCCCTTCCTCGGAAAAAAAGACACCATATTTGTCAGATTCCTTTAGATTTTTCATAGAATGTTTAAATCTCTGAAAAAAAATTTCATTTCTTCCAATTAGTATTCACAGTTTTCTGCACTGAATTTGCAGTTTAACAAAATGCATTTTTTGTTACAAAAATAAACATTTCTTTGTTCAGAATATATATAGGCACACATACGAGGTCATATCTGTACATAGAATGACATGTTTATGGGATTCTTCAAACTTGGTTTAGAAAAATGTCTGAACCAGCAGAAGTTCGTTTAGTTCGTTGTCCAAAGTGTGAGAATTTACTTCCAGAGCTTACTGATTACTCTGTTTATCAATGTGGAGGTTGTGGTGCTCTTCTAAAAGGTAAAATTCCTACAATTTCTTCCTGTTTTTCCTTCATTTTTGTATCAAATTTTGTTCTTTGTGAAGTGTTTCTTCAGTTGATTTTGTTTTTAGTATACCCCCTTTTCTTCTTGAATTACAAATATGCTAAAATTCCTGAAATTGAAATTTTATTTTGATGTATTTGCTTATTGGTAGAGTGCTTTCAATTTGTTTGGCCTTTATCGAAATGTTAAAAACTTAAGTAATTTGTGGCTTCAATGATTTTTACAGCTAAGAACAAAGGTGTTGAATTGGATACATTATCAGAAAAGTCTAATGAAGAAAGGGCTGGTGGAATTTCCGAGAAACTTTCGGATATATACCAGGAAAATGTATCGGACAAGAGAACAATGGAATTGAGTGATAACTCCGAAAGTGATGTGAGGTCAAATATTAGTTCTTCGAGCAGAGTAGAGAGAAGGGTCATGCATGATAGTGTTGAAGTTTATAGGAATAGTTTGAATACTAAAGGTGAAAAGTGTGGTGTTGAGGATGATATGATTCAAGATAAAACAACCGATGAACTACATGGAGCGAAAATTGCTAAAGATTTAGAGGACTTGAGGTTATATAATGAGGATGAGAATGGGTTGCGAAGACCCTGGCGTATGATGAATTGGAGAAACCGGGAGAGAAGAGAAATGGAGGGATTTGGAAGGGATCGGAGAATGGATGTAGAAGGTATGGAATATGCAACTTTGACCTATTCTGAAGAGGGTCTTCCAGATGATGTGATGCAAAATAAAAGTACTAATGAACTACATGGAGCCAAAATTTCTCAAGATTTAGAGGATCTGAGGATGTATAATGAGAACGAAAATGGGTTGCGAAGATCCAAGCCTATGATGAATTGGAGAAATGGGGAGAGAAGCAAAATGGAGGAATTTCGAAGGGCTCAAAGAACGGATGTAGACGGTATGAGATATTGGAATTCAATATATTCAGGAGAGGATCTTCCAAATTTCCAGTCTAAATCCTATTATGAATATGAAGATCCGGAGAAGAGAAGGAATGACACCAATGGATTTGAAAAGGTTGACTACGTTGGACAAGATAGAGCTGAGATTTTGAGGAAGTTGGATGAGCTGAAGGATCAGCTTAGTCGGTCTGGTGAAATTGTTGAGAAGGGTAAAGAAAAGGTTCCTCTTGACAGGAAGGCATTTTATCAAGATCCTTATGTTGGTTCTGCAAATTGGTATCCCGATGGCTCTTCGGGATTTAACAGGGCATCAACGCAATACTCCTACCCCAATAAACAATACGGAAGACAGCCTTATTTGAATCACTATTCCGAGCCATCTTCTTTGATGCAAAGGCACGAAATGGAAGGTAATGGCTTTTATCCTCCTGGGTATGCTCCAAATCATCTCCACGAATTTGAGGATCCATTGAGGTCTCAAATGCTCGGGAGACGTCCCCACCAAACCCATCCTTCTTTTCAACAACCTCGATCTCATGCTTATTATGCTGGACAATACATGGATCATGATATGGTTTATATGGGTCAGATGGAATCATATCCTCCTAATGTTAATAGCCACCATCCATCTTGCCCTTGTTTCCAATGCCACAATAAAAGACAAGTCATCCCCCTTCCTGTTCTACCTACTGGCTTCACTGATGAAAGGTTATTGGAAGTCCCAGATGATTTGATTCTTAATCATCATGGAACTCTCGGTTCATTTGGTCCCCGAGATTATAACTCCAGAATTACTAATCCTCCGCCCTTGAGATCTCATATTTCTGAATTGCACTCTAGACGGCCTAGTGACATGAACTCAGAAGTGGATGGTTTTACTCGTCGCCATCAGCCTAGGGTACATCCATCTGGTGGCGGAAGACATTGTCGCCCTATAGCTGGCGGTGCTCCGTTCTTGACATGCTACAATTGTTTTGAGTTGCTGCAATTGCCTAAGAAAGTTTTGACCAAGGAGAAAAACAAAAAGAAAATGATATGCGGGGCATGTTCTACAGTAATTTTGTGTGCAATTTCCAACAAGAAATTAGTCGTCTCTATTCATGAAGAAGCAAAGGGTACTCCTTTAACGGTTGATGGTGATTATGATGTGGTGTCAAAAGAAGGTAATTCATATGTCCATAGACATTTGAAACAGGCTACCGCAACATTTTCATCTGAGGATTACGAAAATGTTGGTTATGATTTCCAATCAATGGATAACGAATTCAGATCACTGTCAACCAGAGAGGAAACCTCAAGCAAGTCTGCAGAAATGAAGAATTTTGAGGCAGAAGAATACTTTGACCATTCAACTGCGACTAGAAATGACTCGAAATCAGCTGAGGTGGCAACAAAGGGAAAAGAACCTCCACCTTCTGCAGGTTCTCCACTTCAAGATTACTTTGAGTATTCTAACAAGTATCGTGTGGCAAATCATTTTGAAGATGGACACATAAGTGTACGGTCTGAACGGGACAAGCCACTTCCAAACAAAAGTACTACTTGGGAGAATTCAATGAAAGACTCGTCATCGGCAACTGAGATAGATATATCATCAAATGAGTACTCTAATACTGGGACATCGCTAGATTCAGGTAATGCAAGCCGAGAAGGTGATCGACTCAGACGGAGGAGAGCAGCTGAGTCGTTTTTCGCTGGTATCATTAAGAAGAGCTTTAAGGAATTTAATAGATCGAACCAAACTGTCGAGCTGGAAAAGGCTAATGTTACAGTTAATGGGCATCTTATACCGGATCGCCTGATTAAAAAGGCTGAAAAACTGGCTGGACCAATCCAAGTTGGACACTACTGGTAAGTGCACTTGAATCATCATGTATATGATTTCTTAGTTAAAACTTTTTTGACTTTCCTTTACCAGGTATGATTTTCGAGCTGGATTTTGGGGTGCAGTTGGAGGTCCTTGTCTTGGCGTAATACCAGTAAGCGCCATAAGTTTCTTCTGCTGATAACTTTATCTTTCCACATTTTAACAAGTATATGTCGTTTTATTACAGCCATTTATTGAGGAATTTAACTATCCAATGCCGGAAGAATGTGCTGGTGGAAACACACGTGTTTTTGTAAATGGTAGAGAACTTCACCAAAAAGATATGAATTTGTTGGGGAGTAGAGGTCTTCCAACTGATAGAGATAAATCTTACATTATCGAGATATCTGGTCGAGTCCTGGATGAGGACACGGGCGAAGAGCTACAAAGCCTCGGCAAGCTTGCTCCAACGTGAGTCCTAACTCTCAAATATACATTTATTTATTTGTTTAATTGATATTTTCCCTTCTAATTAAAGAAGATATCCAAGCCATGCGCTAAGGGCGTATTGGTTTTATTTCTTTATTAGATAGGTCTACTATATATGTTAGATAAATCTAGCTCATTGAATCTATCCCTCCACAAACGTCCCGCGGAAGAATTGATAGTTATACAAGTTTTTCTTTGCTTTGACACCATATTTTTGTCTACATTTTTGCACATTACTGTATGAACCTTTTTACTTAAAATTTCTTTGCTTTTACCTGAATTCTAATTTCTAAAGAACTTGAACAGTGTAGAAAAGGCTAAGCGCGGATTTGGTATGAGAGTGTCCAAAACAGCTACCTGACTGGCAACATTCTGATGATCGACTGGCTCTCACCACCACTTTCCAACAGATATATAATTCAAAAAAATGGTGCTCGGTGTATAAAAGACGGTTTTGACAAAAATCTGTCTAAACATTTGGAGGAAGATATCTAATTGATCCTACGCCACTCTTGATCTTGTGTGAAAAAGGTATATCTTGAGTGTTCTCAGCTGTTTCTGCTTGCATATGTACAACTCCTTTTTTTTTTCTCTTAGTTTGTTACATTCTGCACTTTTGGCTGTGGGAAAAGGTTGGTGTCGTTATCATTTTCTATGTTTATCAAGCACACATGAAATTGAAACCCCGGAAAAAAAAAAAAAAAAAAAAAATCTGAATTAGATATGTTAGTCCTGGATTACCCTAGCACAATGTAATTATGATATTTCGAATTTATACGCAATTTGTGTGTATCATTTGGTTTGTCAATGAGCATTTTTTTGAACATATTACTGCTGCAATTTTTTATGATTGCTCAATAAGTAATGTATATACAAGTAAAGTTGCGGCAATTTTGAATAATGATAACGAAGAAGACTATGGTGTATCAAAGTAGACAAAAGTTTTGAATTCAAGTTTCGTTGCCATTCATTTAAGTGAATTGTGCACGTGTTATGTTTTGTTGAAAGTGACGAGATGTGTTGAAGACTGTATTTAAAGTATATGCATGTGAAAATATCTAATAACTTAAGCGTTTAGATTCGTTATTATTTAAAACTAAAAAAATAGTTGGAGGGTGAAGGAATGAAAAATGGACCAGACCTATGATTGGTTATCCTGCACAAAATTGAAGGGTCATAGAGATCATCATCAGTTTATCCAATTTGTCTTTGGTATATATGGTGAATTTAATTCTGAAGTTCATGAATTATTTGAATTGTTGTCAAGTACAAGTTAATTCGAGTTTTTGTTAAGATACAGGAAAATCTATGTACGACGCATGATTCTGCCAAAAGCTTGCGATATCAAAGAGCCATTTAGTTCAGTACGACCTATACTAGATAATACTAGGTGGCATTCCAAATTTAATGTACAAGTTATTAGAAAAAAAATATTTAGTATCTAAAACAAAATTTAAGGGAAAAAGAAGGAAGAACTAAAGGCAAACTTTTTTTAGCCCTAAAGGGCATTGATATGCCTTGGGTCCTTGAGACTCGTAGAATTCATGGACTAACATGAACGATCGAACACACTTCACCTCGACTAGTTCAATGCATAAGCATTCATGAGACATTGTGTGGTGGGAAATTAATGTGGGACCCATTCAAATGGGAAATATCTCAATTTCATTTATGTCCAAACAATGTCATTATAACCCATAAAAATACATAATTGCTCAAACCTATATTTATGGGATCTCAACCAACCGGTCGATACGAGCCAATCGGCCTGCCTCGAAGAATCGGGGCAGAGACGAGTAAAGGGTCTCCACTCCAAATTTGTCTCGAATCTCATTTAAATAAAAATTAATAAATGAGGAAAGTAAGTAAACTACACGAAATGATGAGAGTATTTTAATTCCAACCTTGCTGTTTCACTCCGTTGCCAACCCTTCGAACATGATAGTGGGTTCAACATTTTTTTTTTTCTCACACACTTTTTAGTTAATTATCTTAAAATGATAAAATACTAAATTTATAAAAGAAAATACAGAGCAATGGACTTTGAAAAGCTATGTCTAACATGACCCGTCTCTTCAGACATTTTAGCTTATACTAGGGGTGGGCAAAATCCGATTGAACCGACCAAAACCGTCCAAACCGAACCAACCCGACCGCATTGGATTTTTTTTTTTTTTTTTGTTTTTAAGTGGGCTCGGCTTTTTGGCTATGTAGGCAGGTTGAGTTGGGTCGAATTATGAGTTAACCCATAAAACCAAACACTCGTCCAACTCGACCCTTCTACTTAAAAAAAAAATGATGATAATAATAATAATAATAATAAATAAAATACACTTGTTCTTTGTAGGTTGGTTAGTAAGGATTGAATATGATAATAGATAATTTTATTTATTTATTTACTACTTAATCTTGTCTATTCGAATTTAGTATAATAGAAAATTGAATGACTTTAAT